TACAGAGACCATATCAGAGTACGGTGATAGGATAGGGTTGATTGCTTTCTTCATTTAATGTTAGCATTGAAAAGGTTATGTCAAAGGACATCCCAAATTTAGGGGAAATCACCATGGCATGATTGCATGAGAGGACCAGGAGCAGGGGCGGACTGACAACTCATGGGGCCCCCGGGCAATAGGGGATCATGGGGCCCCTGTGTCCTTGCCCAAACTCAAAAAAGCCTATGAAAAAGGTACCAGGGGCATCTGATGGGGCCCCCTACTGACCCCGGGCCCTCGGGCAGTGCCCGAGTTTCCAAATGGTCCGCCCCTGACCAGGAGTGATTGTTAACCTTTTTTTGATTTATCCAACTCTCGCACTTTAGGACGTGGCTATAGCTCTCAAAAATAATGAAGCAGCTGATCAACACTTAAAATTTTTGGGACCTTGTTAACCCTTTGAGGACTGTAAGATTTTGGAACGCCAAAAGAATCAATTTTTTTGTTTTTAAAGTTCGTACACTTCAGTTGCTGTAACTAAGCCATTTCATGAAATAATTGGCAAAAAACTAGATCCATTTGTTGTTTGTTGATAAGAATTAAATTTTGACTCAAACCAAAAAAGAAAAAGAGTTTTAAGTTCTTAATCAGATGATACACGCAATTAAAAACATGGGACAAATACGTCCCTTGGTCCTCAAAGGGTTAATGCAGTAGGCTTTACCAGAGCATTCACACTTGAGCGTTTTGTAGCTTGAAGCTCTAAGCTCCAAAAATGCTCAAACTTAAAAAATCAATTGTTCTGTATGGTGCCTGTTCACGCGGTCAGGTGTGAACAGGCACCATAAGCCCTCATGCACACTGGATGTTTTTACAGCGGCTGTTTTTTAGCTTTTGACCCCCCCCCCAGCATGTTATCCTATGTGTCCATGCACACATAGACTGTAATCAATATTTTTGGCTGGGACGTTTTTTAGCTGGAAAAAAAAACCCAGGACCCAGGGAGTTTTTTAGCTGTAAAAATGCTCTAACGCTGAAAACAGGGAAAAATGCGTTAAAACGCTAAAAAAAATGCTAAAAACCGCAACTGCTGCTAAATGCAGGTAATCGCTACTGCAAAAATGCTAAAAAAAGCCGAAAAACTCACGTTTTTAATTTGACTTTACACAGCTAACATTTCCAGTGTTATCAAAATGTCCCGTGTGCGTGAGGACTGAGAACAATTGATTTTTAAGTTTGATCATTTTTTGGAGCTTTGAGCTACAAAACACACAAGTGTGAATGCCGCCTTAAGCAGTATTAAACCCAAAAGCAAGTGTTTGTTATATTGCAGCTTACCAATCTTAGATGTGGTGCTGCAATATTAGGCTTTCTTTCTTTTGTTTTCACTTGATGATTTTGCCAGTAAGTATCTTGTTTTTCAGCAGACCAAGCTGCCCTGCAAATGTAGCAGTTACAGGGTTGAGAGAAACCATTTACCACGAACAGGACTGCTTACAACGATCAGCTTTTAATCATTTATGTAAAAGTTTTATCCCAAAAGAACCAAAATTGTTTACCGAGTTGACCGGGCAGGGGAGCAAATTATTTATAGTTTTGCAGCACTGGGATATTTTGATCATGAATACGGTTGTATTTTGATGGATTGGGTTATGAGATTACATGGTGGAAACAAAGATGTGATTGATCGTTCCCGATCGAAAGTTACGATTGTATCTTAACTATCAATTGATAGCGGCATATAAATCGTGTGGGCTGTCCGCTATAGATCTATTATTCCTATCAGAAGAGATCGATTGTAAAAGAAATGGAATATTCAGCAAAGCGTGTATGGCCACATTGCATGTATTAACCACATACAGTTACCAAAATACAAGTCCAGCGGATTAATAAACGTAAATGTTTGGCTTGACCAAATGTTAATGGTTAAGTAGTTGTTGAGGGACATTGTTGGTGATGCTTAGACCAGAGGCTGAACAATAGCATTTGGGACAGGTTTCCATCTGTATTATTGTTTTGATGTCTTCATGCAGTTTATGGCCTAACTCTGGGATAAGCAAATATTGTCTAAATATATTTCCTTGAATCTGGGTGCAAGTTGTGTATTTCTTTGTGATCAGTGCATAAATCCACTTCTCTACTTACCTGTATAGCTGTATGTACTGTGGAACAGTTCATCTTCGAAGTACACTGTAGATGCACCAAGGTCTTTTTCTAAATTAAGCTGTATGGGACCACTATGCTGTGGTGGAACTTTGAGGCCGTCTTTGAACAATCCCTTTACACCTTGCAGTACTTGACCTCTGTAGAGCTGCCTGCATAACCACAGTATATGTCATGTGAATCCTTTTCCAGTGTGTCATAGTGACCACATATAACGTACACGTGCATACACAGCAACCTCCTCCTCTGTCCTGACAGTCTCTGCATTGTGAACACCCTGCGTGATCAGGTGACAGTTTTAGTCAGGGGCGGACTGACCATTTGGAAACTTGGGCACTGCCCGGGGGCCCGGGGTCAGTAGGGGGCCCCATGAGATGCCCCTGGTACCTTTTTCATAGGCTTTTTTGAGTTTGGGAAAGGACACAGGGGCCCCATGATCCCTTATTGCCCGGGGGCCCATGAGTTGTCAGTCCGCCCCTGGTTTTAGTAAACTGTTAGTACCCTGGATTGAAGCATGCCTCCTGTGTCAGTGGACCGCTGTCCCTGGGGGCCCTGTAGAGCAAATATTTATCTGCCCACAGCCTGCAAGAATGAATCCCCCCATGGGAGCAGGGACCCCCTGACTGGTGTCTGACCTGACTCATGAGTTATAAATGGTGCAGCATTTGACTAAACCCACCCATAGATGGTTCAAATCTCAGCTGGTTCAGTAAGGACCGACCAAGCTTTGAATCATCTATGGGCAGGCTGATTGCACCCAAGTTGATCTATCCAGCTGCTAGCAATATTCACTGTGTTCTCCCTGCGCTCCCTGCCAGAAAAACACAATAGCTCTGCTGGAGGGATTCCCCCTTCAACACATCTATGGGCAGGCTTATTGCACCCAAGCTGATCTATCCAGCCGCTAGCAATATTCACTGTGTTCTCCTCGCGCTCCCTGCCAGAAAAACACAAAAGCTCCGCTGGAGGGATTCCCCCTTCAACACATCTATGGGCAGGCTGATTGCACCCAAGTTGATCTATCCAGCCGCTAGCAATATTCACTGTGTTCTCCCCGCGCTCCCTGCCAAGAAGAACACAATAGCTCCACTGGAGGGATTCCCCCTTCAACACATCTATGGGCAGGCTGATTGCACCCAAGTTGATCTATCCAGCCACTAGCAATATTCACTGTGTTCTCCCCGCTCTCCCTGCCAGAAAAACACAATAGCTCCGCTGGAGGGATTCCCCCTTCAACCATCTATGGGCAGGCTGATTACACCCAAGTTGATCTATCCAGCCGCTAGCAATATTCACTGTGTTCTCCCCGCGCTCCCTGCCAGAAGGATACAATAGCTCCGCTGGAGGGATTCCCCCTTCAACACATCTATGGGCAGGCTGATTGCATTGATCTATCCAGCCGCTAGCAATATTTGTGTTCTCTCCGCGCTCCCTGCCAGAAGAACACAATAGCTCTGCTGGAGGGATTCCCCCTTCAACACATCTATCAGGCTGATTGCACCCAAGTTGATCTATCCAGCTAGCAATATTCACTGTGTTCTCTCCGCGCTCCCTGCCAGAAGAACACAATAGCTCTGCTGGAGGGATTCCCCCTTTAACACATCGAGTTGCAGGAAAGGAAATCGCATCATAAGGCAGGCCATAGATGAGTCAAAAACCAAACACAATTTTGTCGTTCATTTTTTGCATCATTGGCTTGCCATTTGCGACATGCGATTTTTGGGTCACAATCGAAAGTGCCTGATCTAACATGCTGCATTTTGTTTCGTTAAATTGTAAGCACCATTTTCTGTTTTTTAACTCGTCTATGGCCTGTCTTGTTTGGGTCGGGTGCTGGGAATCCCAGGGTTATTAATGCCCACTCAGCCACTCAACTCACATCCTCCTGAGTCCTGCAGGCCGCACACTTCAGACTGTGGGCACTTAAATAATGAATTTTGATCTTTCTCATTCTGGAATCCTGAGTCCCAATGTGGCTCCTGCACCCTCCCACGTTGCGGTACCTGGTGCAGACTACTTCTTCTCCCCCCCCAGGTACGGCACTGCAGTGCAGCTCACTCTGCACCCCCCTCCTAGTAGGGACTTAGCAGCCTTCCAGACTTCTAACCTTTTATGTTTAATGCAGAGCAGGTGCTGTGAGAGGGAGGAGCAGGGTGAGCTGACCTGCTGAACCACAGCCGGGAGGAGGAGCGCGAGCTGAACTGGAATGCTTCTGCTGTGAACTTTGAGGATGAATTGTTCTGCCTGTAGCTACAGAGATCAGTGAGGGCTTATTTTATAGTTTGTTTCTGCTGTTCATCATATATATGCATGATCTTTAGGCCTGGTGTTAGTCACTGTACTTGCTTTCCTACACATTACATGAAAGAACACATTCTTTATACTTTATTAGGGTGTTATCAAGCAAATCATCAGCAGATTGCACAGCTAAAGTCTACAGTAGCCAGCGGGGAGGAGAATGCATGTCTAAAGGGATGCCAGAGATGTGTTCTTTCTTATAACACTTTAGGCAGGGTTTTGTGATGTTTACAGGATTCTGCTGCCCCCCCACCCCCACCAAATCTGAGCAGTGATCTGAAGATAGTCCCAGTGATGATGTTTAGCTATTTTATGAAAAGGGGGCGGGGGGACAAGGGAGGTATTATATGCAAATATTACGCTTCAGCTATAACTAGTAAGATCGGTAAAGAGGTGATTTGTGATTGGTAACACTTTGAATATCAGTAATGCTCGTCATACTGCGTTATTGACTATATGTTTAAGTCTTCCTCTTGTACTATATTTTAAGGTTACATTAACCAGTCAAATATTTCTGGAAGGTTCCAAACTAAAGCATGTCTTTTCTCCAATCACAGCGCAGTAACGGCACCACCTACCCTCACGCCACTCACTTTGGGGATACCTTCCGGTTTGTCCTTCTTATCTTTATTGCCTTGGCTTGTATCGCTGGGATAGTCATCGCCTCAGCTGTCATCTTCTGCCTTCGCCAACATGCCAAGCAGCGGGAGAAGGAACGCTTGGCCGGACTTGGTCCTGAGGGCGGTGGAGACTCCACGTTTGAGTATCAGGTAAGCCATTGTATGAAGTGTGTGTATGGAATAATCTGTTGTAACTATTAAAGTGTACCTGTAGCCAAAATGTATTTTTCCTTTTGAGATCTCCCTTCGTTTTCACAGAGGAAAAGAGAGGAAATCTCTCCAAGGTGTCACCCAAACAGGTGTGCCCAGTTGGATGATCACAGCATATCATGTTCAGATAAACAGACAGGACACTTTAATGTCACCAACAGAACCAGTAATGTTTGAAGGCCACCAGGGGCCTATTCCTCAGGCAGCAGTTACCACCGCATCACTGCTGTCCTAATTGAGACGCCTATTGTCCTCAAAACATTGCTGATTTCAGTTGGTGTCATTAAAGTCTCCTCTCTGTCTATATAAATATGGTGTGCTGATGATATCTTGGATTGGACTTATGCTTTGGTGGCACCATCTGCTATTTCACCACAACACCCTCCTATAACTGGGTGCCATTGCTGTAAGGAGTGAGATGGACTCTTTTTCTGGGAAGGCTTTCCATAAAGATTTTGGAGTATATTTGTGGCAATTTGTTCCCCTTCACCAAAAAGAATATTTTTGAGATTAGATACTGATGTTTAATATGACGAATTCACCCCAATTAGTAGGGTTGACATTAGGGCTTTGTAAAGGGTACCCGAATTCTTCCACACCAAACTTATCAAACTATGTGTTTGCGCAGTGTTGGTTGAGAAAACCTTGATCATTCTAATTCATCCCAAAAGTGTTCTGAATGGTTGAGGTCAGGGCTCTGTGCAGGACACTCGAGTTCCTCCATAGCAAACTCATCAAACCATATCTTTAGGCAGATGTTGGTTGAAAAGACCTTTAGGCAGATGTTGGCTGAGAACACCTTTGGGATGAATTTGTTCCAATTCATCCCAAAGGTATTCAGTAGGGTTGAGGTCAGGGGTTTATGCAGGAAACTTGAGTTTCGCCAAACCAAACTCATCAAACCACTATTTTTAGGCCAATGTTGGTTACGAAGACCTTGTTTCTTCCAATTCATCCCAAAGGTATTCAGTAGGGTTGAGGTCTGGGGTTTATGCAGGAAACTTGAGTTTCTCCAAACCAAACTCATCAAACTATATTTTTAGGCCAGTGTTGGTTGAGAAGACCTTGTTTCTTCCAATTCATCACAAAGGTGTTCAGCAGGGTTGAGGTCAGGGCTTTGTACAGGACACTCAAGTTCCTCTACACCAAACTCATTAAAACATATCTTTAGGCAGATGTTGTTTATAAAGACCTTTAGGCAGATGTTGGCTGAGAACTCCTTTGGGATGAATTTGTTCCAATTCATCCCAAAGGTATTCAGTAGGGTTGAGGTCAGGGGTTTATGCAGGAAACTCAAGTTTCTCCAAACCAAACTCATCAAACCATATTTTTAGGCCAATGTTGGTTATGAAGACCTTGTTTCTTCCAATTCATCACAAAGGTGTTCAGCAGGGTTGAGCTTTGTGCAGGACAATCAAGTTCCTCTACACCAAACTCATCAAACCATATCTTTAGGCAGATGTTGTTTGAAAAGACCTTTAGGCAGATGTTGGCTGAGAACTCCTTTGGGATGAATTTGTTCCAATTCATCCCAAAGGTATTCAGTAGGGTTGAGGTCAGGGGTTTATGCAGGAAACTCAAGTTTCTCCAAACCAAACTCATCAAACCATATTTTTAGGCCAATGTTGGTTATGAAGACCTTGTTTCTTCCAATTCATCCCAAAGGTATTCAGTAGGGTTGAGGTCTGGGGTTTATGCAGGAAACTCGAGTTTCTCCAAACCAAACTCATCAAACTATATTTTTAGGCCAATGTTGGTTGAGAAGATCTTGTTTCTTCCAATTCATCACAAAGGTGTTCAGCAGGGTTGAGGTCTGGGGTTTATGCAGGAAACTCGAGTTTCTCCAAACCAAACTCATCAAACTATATTTTGAGGCCAATGTTGGTTGAGAAGACCTTGTTTCTTCCAATTCATCACAAAGGTGTTCAGCAGGGTTGAGGTCAGGGCTTTGTGCAGGACACTCAAGTTCCTCTACACCAAACTCATCAATCCATATCTTTAGGCAGATGTTGTTTGAAAAGACCTTTAGGCAGATGTTGGCTGAGAACTCCTTTGGGATGAATTTGTTCCAATTCATCCCAAAGGTATTCAGTAGGGTTGAGGTCAGAGGTTTATGCAGGAAACTCAAGTTTCTCCAAACCAAACTCATCAAACCATATTTTTAGGCCAATGTTGGTTACGAAGACCTTGTTTCTTCCAATTCATCACAAAGGTGTTCAGTAGGGTTAAGGTCAGGGCTCTATGCAAGCCATTTGAGATCCTCCACACCAAACTCATCAAACCATGTCTTCAAAGAGCTGGCTTTGTACACAGTCATGCTGGAACAGTAACCGGCCTTAACCGAACTGTCACCACAAGGTTGGAAGAGCACGATTGTCTAAAATGTCACTGTGTGCTGTAGTATTATCATATTTAAAAGGGTGTCCATGTATCGTTGACCTTATAGTTTTACTAAATCCCTGGGGCTACTAGTGTCCTATTTTCTGAATGGCCCTTGGTCTGAGCATGCCTGTGTGTTCCTAGTTTTAAAGCATCACCCTCTATAGTTCTCTGGAAATTATTCAAGAAAACTTGCATTCAAGTTATATTGAGTGGACTTTTTGAGCTGGCAGGGTTGCAATGTTTTCAGGAGAGTGTGGTCAGTTGAGTGTTTGATGCTGCAGTTGCTCTTCGAAGACAGATAGAATCCCTGTAGTGATTTATCTTTCTCCCTCTATCTGCGGCTCCAGGATCTCTGCAGACAGCACATGGCAGGAAAGTCTCTGTTCGGTCGCACAGAGGGCAGCGGGGCAGCAGCGGAGAACTCCCGTGTCAGCAGTGTGTCTTCCCAGTTCAGCGATGTGCCACAGCCCAGTCCCAGTTCACACAGCAGCACTCCATCTTGGTGCGAGGAACCCGTGCAGTCCAACATGGATATCTCCACCGGTCACATGATCCTGGTAAGAGCACCCAGCATAGAAAACATTTTGAAGGAAAGAAAATATTGAGTGACAACCAATCAGATGTTTGCTTTCATTTTTATTCTTGTACCAGAAGAATGACAGCTGGATTCTGATTCGGAGATTTTATAAACTTGAGTCAGAGGGAATAAAGTTAAAGCACATCTCCGCACAAAACTGTTGAAAATGAAAATAGGTCCTAAGTAGGTTCTAAAAATAAAAAGGTCAGACTGCAATAACAATCAGACTGTAACATACCCCAGCTGGGGGGACTCCAGGAAGGAAAGGTCATTTGTTTAGGGGGGGCTGAGCCTGGAGTTGAGCTTTAACTGTTGGGTTTGCAGGTAAGTGTTAAAGACTCAGACCCAGACTGCGCTTGAGTACTTCCGTTAGAATACCGCTTCCCCGTCCAAACACACCGATAACAGACACCAGAGCCGACCATACAAGACTAGACGACACCAGTCTTGAAGTAAACCAGGAGGGAGGCTCCTTTATTTGAACACAGATACAAGATATATACACTCAGGGGACAATCCCCCCACCCTGCATAATGACACAGGGCGGGGCAATCTACACTTAGTAACAAGAGACACACAGGTATTCAAACTTCACACCAGCAGACAGTCCCATCAGGAGGGAGGGCTGCTGGAGACACCCCCCCCCCCCCCACTAAGCTAATACACATAAATACATACATCCCATAATAGTTTGCTCCCAAGCAAGACACACAATAGAACAATGGGATGCAACCACATAACATTAAACAATCAACAACCCCCACCCCACGTATCTCCTAAACATGTCTACACAGTCTGAGACAACCCCCACCCAGTATTAGGACAGATCACCCTGTACCCCTAAAAGGCACAAGGTGATTTACACATAAGAGGGATATGGGGAGCTGAGACAGGAGTCACCCCCACCTTTCCAAAGTGAGCTGGGTTCTATGGCCCCCCCCCCACCCAAAGTGACTCCCGTCACGCTGGGTTAAATGTTAGGGGTTATAGTGACCCTTAATCTTGTGTACTTGAAGCTGAAGTTTAGTTCTAAAACATGTTTTTCTCTACAACTTGAGTTCCTTTACTTATTTGTAATGAAGGTTGTCCCACGATGGGCAGGGTGCTGGATTCTGTAGAAATCTTTACAGCAGGGCTGCCCTGTCCTCTTCCTGCTGCTGAACTTCTGCAATTTTTGGTCTCCCGGCTCAGCTGCACTAAAGAAAATCTGTAGGGCGGAGGTTTCTGGGGGCAACTATGGGCGATGTGTCTATGGAAAGGGTTGGGGGGGTCTCTCTAGGATTTTGCAGGGGTACTCTGGCACACTGGAGGGCACTACGGGGGGCTAGGGTGCACTGTGTTTGGGGGCACTATGGCAGGCTAGAGGCTCTGCAGAAAGCCAGGGGACTTTGCAGGTGGCTTGGGGCACTGTGAGAGATTGGGCAGCACTATGGGGGCTATGAGCTCTCATTGGCCCTGGGGCATTCTGTGAGGTAAGGGGTACTGTGCTCCGCTATCGGAGTTTGGGGGGAACTATGAGGCACTGTGGCAGATTAGGGGATCTGCAGCTGGCTTGAGAACTGGAAGGAGGGAGACCATGGCTTGGCAGTGGGCCATGGTCGGGTGGTTGAGAAGCTCTCTTCTAGCATTCCCCTATAGAACTTTATAAAAACATTGTTACTTCTTTCTGTGTTGTTCTGTGTTGTTGAGAGATGAATGTCCCCTCATTTCTGTCCTGGGGACAGGAAGTAAAGAAATCTCTCTAACGGAGCCTCCGAAGGCATATTTTTGTGGATCTATAGTAGAGTTTTTACCTGTAGATCCAGACAGTAAAAGCACTTCCTGCTGCAGGCTGACAACGCTAAGTTGCTGCCTTGCAATTAGAAGCATCGTTGTCACCCTGCCCTGCAAGCACCATCAGCTGGCTGTTGCACTGCTAGCTGATAGACAATGATGTGAAATGCATTCATGAGTGGAATCTGGTGTTAATATTTATATTTCTGCCTATTTCTTTAACTTTTTTCAGGCATACATGGAAGATCATTTGAGAAACCGAGACCGCCTAGCAAAGGAGTGGCAGGCGCTGTGTGCATATCAAGCAGAGCCCAATGCATGCTCCATTGCCAAGACCGACACCAACCTGAAGAAGAACAGGAATTCTGAGTTTGTTCCATGTGAGTGTGATACTGCAGAGTATCCAGTCATAACTACTGCTTCCCCTTTGCACACTCTGATCACAGGATCTCTCTCCTTCCTCTGTGCTTTCTTCTTCCACTCTGCCGCCCCTCCCCCCAGCTGAAGGATCATTTATGATGTGGAGGCACCCCACACAGAGTGCCGGCCTGTGCTGTATCCATGTGCCCCTAGGTGGCAGTGCGCCCTAGGCTGTTGCCTAGTTTGCCTAGTAGAAGCATCGACCCTGAATGGAAGAACATGAAAATGATAGACTGTCATAACATATAACATACATATGTGAACACACAGAGAAAAAAATAAATATTTAGGATAATATACACTTTAAATGTATCCCAACGTAAATGCTATAAATGATATTGGGACAGGTAATTGTTCTAAATGGGAATGTCCCAGATTGAGACTGATCCAAAGACTGACAGGCCGCACTCCGGAATGGACACTGTAGTAAAATATTTATCGCAAAAAACTTGCTAGCTGTCAGATCATCTTCTATGGACACGTTTCACCTGAAAAAAAGGACTTAAAGTGTTACTAAACCCAAAACAGAGATCAGTCTGTATATGCAGTAAAGATGCTTGTTATACTCACTGTGGAGCCTAAGGGGTTAATCCTCCACATTGTGTAAAAAGCCTTTTGATCCTGTCTTCTCTGATCCTCCCCTTCTTCTACTGTTCCCAATTCATCTGCCGATAGTACAGAGCTCTAGGAGTTACTCTGCGCATACTCAGTTTGGTGTGTATCGCTGGAGAGTTTTTCTTTCTTTGGGAGGGTGCATGTGATCGGAACAGGGCCAATTAGCACTGTCCAGACAGAGGGTCAGAGGTCATGCAGACTCATAGGACAATCAGGGCAGAATGAAAACTCCTCCTACAAGAATTAACCAGTGCTCTGCTGGACACTGATAGAAGTCACAAGACGGCCCTCACTGCAGATGAGAAAAGGGACGAGCAGTTTATATTTACTACAATATTTGCACTTCCATGTTCCGTGTACTGTGGGAGACCAGATATAGTGACTGCAGGGTCTGGGGGGAGCTGATATAGTGAATGCAGGGTCCGGGGAGACCAGATATAGTGACTGCAGGGTATAGGGGGAGCTGAGACCAGATATAGTGAATGCAGGGTCTGGGAGACCAGATATAGTGAATGCAGGGTCCAGGGGAGACCAGATATAGTGAATGCAGGGTCCGGGGAGACCAGATATAGTGAATGCAGGGTCCGGGGAGACCAGATATAGTGAATGCAGGGTCCAGGGAAACCAGATAGAGTGAATTCAGGGTCCGGGGGGACCAGATATAGTGAATGCAGGGTCCGGGGAGACCGATATAGTGAAATGCAGGGTCCGGGGAGACAGGTTATAGTGAATGCAGGGTCCAGGGAGAGTGGATATAGTGAATGCAGGGTCCGGGGGACCAGATATAGTGATATAGTAAGACCAGATATAGTGAATGCAGGGTGCGGAGAGACCAGATATAGTGAATGCAGGGTCCGGGGAGACCAGATATAGTGAATGCAGGGTCCGGGGAGAGTGGATATAGTGAATGCAGGGTCCAGGGAGACCAGATATAGTGAATGCAGGGTGCTGGGGAGAGTGGATATAGTGAATGCAGGGTCCGGGAGACCAGATATAGTGAATGCAGGGTCCGGGGAGACCAGATATAGTGAATGCAGGGTCCTGGGAGAGAGTGGATATAGTGAATGCAGGGTCTGGGGAGAGTGGATATAGTGAATGCAGGGTCTGGGGTTTTAGTAACACATTAATCCTAGGGAGCCCTTTTTTTGGGTGAAGTGTGTTAGAATGAAGTGGCATCCATAGCAGGGGAATTTACCCATAGCTTAGTGAATGTGGGTGGCGACATTTCTCTTTGTAAAGAATACACAATCATATGCAGGGAAAATGAAAAAAAAAATTTACAATTCTTACTTACACATGATTGGCTGATGGAAGTCAGCAGACCTTCAACCAGGGGCGGACTGACAACTTATGGGGCCCCCCGGGCAATAGGGGATCATGGGGCCCCCGTGTCCTTGCCCAAACTCAAAAAAGCCTATGAAAAAGGTACCAGGGGCATCTCATGGGGCCCCCTACTGACCCCGGGCCCTCGGGGCAGCGCCTGAGTTTCCAAATGGTCAGTCCGCCCCTGCCTTCAACTCATTCACTAAGCTGTGGGGTAATTCCCTTGCAAAGTGAACAGTCTATTTGCCTTTAGTAAATCAAGCCCTACGCGTCTTTATAATTCATGTCTATGCAGCAATGGACGTTAACTATTATTCTTTCTGTCCTATGTAGATGACCACGCTCGTATTAAACTAAGGAGTGACAACAACCCATCCCGGAGCGACTATATCAACGCCAGCCCTATCGTAAGTAATATTCAGTCACTTATCTGTCCGTCCTGAATAATCAGCACAATCTGTTATATATAAAAACACATTGCTTTACTAAAGGCAAATAGACTGTGCACTCTGCAAGTGCAGTTACTCCAGAGCAGGGGCAGACTGACAACTCATGGGCCCCCGGGCAATAGGGGATCATGTGGCCCCTGTGTCCTTGCCCAAACTCAAAAAAGCCTATGAAAAAGGTACCAGGGGCATCTCATGGGGCCCCCTACTGACCCCGGGCCCTCGGGCAGTGCCCAAGTTTCCAAATGGTCAGTCCGCCCCTGATCCAGAGATTAGTAAATGAGATGAAGGTTCACTTGCCAAAGAATATTAAATCACGTGCAAGGAGAATTAAAAAAAAAAAAAGAAAAAAAAGTTTTTTTTGCTTGCACATGATTGGATGATGGAAGTCAGCAGAGCTTCTGCTCATTTACTAAGTAAGCTCTGGAGCAACTGCACTTTGCAAAGTGCACCGCCTATTTGTCTTTAGGAAATCAACCCCTAAGTGTATTTTTTTACTTAGATTTTGCACTTGATAAACCATTGGGGCTGATCAACTCTGGGTGTAGGTTTATAACGTTTTATTTTCTATGGTTGAACTGGATGGACTTTTGTCTTTTTTTCAGCCAGACTAACTATGTAACTATGATTTGCTAAACCCAAATAGACTGCGCACTTTGCAGTCAGTTGCTCCATAGCTTATAAATGAGGTGAAGCTTCACTTTGCAAAGAATACCCAATCACATGCAAGGAAAATTTAAAAAAAACGCATTTTTGCTTGCATGTGATTGGATGATGGACGTCATTAGAGCTTCTGATCATTTACTAAGCTCTGGAGCGACTGCACTTTCAGAGTGCACAGTCTATTTGCCTTTAGTAAATCAACCCCTATGGTTTATCAAGTGCAAAATCTAAGTAACAAAATACACTTAGGGGTTGATTTCCTAAAGGAAAATAGACTGTGCACTCTGAAAGTGCAGTTGCTCCAGAGCTTAGTAAATGAGCAGAAGCTCTGCTGACTTCCATCATCCAATCATGTGCATGCAAAAATGTTTTTTTTTTTTTTAAATCTTCCTTGCACGTGATTGGGAATTCTTTGCAAAGGGAAGCTTCACCTCATTTACTAAGCTCTGAAGCAACTGCCTTTGCAAAGTTCACAGTCTATTTGCCTTTAGTAAATCAACCCCTAAGTGTATGTCTTTACTTAGATTTTGCACTTGATAAACCATAGGGGTTGATTTACTAAAGGCAAATAGACGGTGCACTTTGCAAAGTTGCTCCAGAGCTTATAGATAAGGTGAAGCTTCCCTTTGTAAAGAACACCCAATCACATGCAAGGAAAATAAAAAAAACAGCATTTTTGCTTGCACGTGATTGGATGATGGAAGTCAGCAGAGCTTCTGCTCATTGACTAAGCTCTGGAGTAACTGCACTTTGCAAAGTGCACCGTCTATTTGCTTTTAAAAAATCAACCCAAATGTCTGACTCTAATACTCAGATGGTTTTATTTTAATTTGCACAGAACTAAAATTAGGAGACTAAAAATAAATGAAATGTAACTTTTCACTGAATGAGCGGAATAGAAGTAGATAGAAAAGTATTTAGAAGTCTTTATGAATTCCTCATTGCATTTCATTATACCATTTTACAGTGGGACAGGCTGGGGCGTGACTACAAAATGCTGGGCCCCAAAATAAAATTTTGATGTGGTCCCCATCAGTGGTAGATGGCCTACATTGCACCCTTTAAAGCTGAATTCCTGGACTTCTTTTACATTTCTAAAGTATTATTAAAGACAGAAATATAGAATAGTGACGACAGAGTGGTCCATCAAGTCTGTCCATTTTTTTGTTTTGTTTTTACTTTTTTTGTTTTTTTTGTTTTACTATTTTCTCTGAGTATAGATCTCTGCTTGTCCCAAGCATGTTTGAAGTCATTTACTAGAATATGGGTGAGACCTCCTTCGCTTCTGCCTACTACCTAAAAAAGGACTAAACTAAGTGCAGCTGCCAACATCCAATCATATACCCAAAGATCTGTACAGCAAATAAATTAAAATGATGTAGCGCTTACACAAGATAAATAAATAATGCATAAACCATAAATATTGTGTATATAAGTGACACCACATAAACACTTGGTGATGATAATCAAAAAGTGACCAATATTAATAAATGTGCAGCCTGTGGGCTGTATTCGTGAGGGGACACTACTGGGAGAGAGGGGACGTCACCCCAGAAGGAGTCTCTTGCATGGAGGATCCTAGTGAGTGATCCAAAAGCGTTTTGACCCTTAGTACAGTTGCAAGAAAAAGTATATGAACCCCTTGGGATTACGTGGAGTTTTGCATGAATTGGGCATAAAATGTGCTCTGAACATCATCTAAGTCACAACAATAGAAGAACACAGTCTGCTGAACATAATACTACACAAACATTAGATGTTGCCATGGTTTAATTGCACATAACATGTAAACATTCACAGTACAGGGAGGAAAAAGTATGTGAGGCCCTAGCTTAATGACTTCTCCCAGAGCTAATTGGAGCCAGGAGTGAGCCAACCTTGACTCCAATCCGAGGGCCCTGGTACCTTTTTCATAGGCTTTTTTGAGTTTGGGCAAGGACACAGGGGCCCCATGATCCCCTATTGCCCGGGGGCCACATGAGTTGTCAGTCCGCCCCTGCTTATATACACAATATTTATGGTTTATGCATTATTTATTTATCTTGTGTAAGCGCTACATCATTTTAATTTATTTGAAGCCATTTACTGTTGACTGGCTCACTACCTCTGCTGGAAGTTTATTCCAAGCATCAACTACTCTTTCAGTAACAATCAGGGGTGGACTGACAGCTCATGGGGCCCCCGGGCAATAGGGGATCATGGGGCCCCTGTGTCCTTGCCCACACTCAAAAAAGCCTATGAAAAAGGTAACAGGGGCATCTCATGGGGCCCCCTACTGACCCCGGGCCCTCGGGCAGTGCCCGAGTTTCCAAATGGTCAGTCCGCCCCTGGTAACAATACTTTCTGAGATTAGTTATGATCTTTCCTCCAGTTATATTAAGGTCATGTCCCCGTGTTCTTGATTTTGGTTTCGTGTTGATAATCCCGCCCCTCCTGAACCTTATTCACCCCTTTGATGTATTTTAAGGTTTCAATCATGTCTCCCCCTTTCCCTTCTTTCCTCCAGACTGGACATGTTAAGTTCCTGAAGTCGCTCTTGATATGTTTTATCCACCATTTTCACCATTTTTGTTACCCGTCTCTGGACTCTTCTTTTTAGTTTTGGATAGATTGGAGAGGGATTAGAACCCCTGTCAGGTTTTTATTGTTCCCTGGGAACCATTTGGGATATTCACTCTATTGTCCTGGTGGCCATTATCACAGAGGGTTAAAGTGAAAAAAAAATCCCAAATTTCAGGTTGTCTCCAGAAATAGAGGAGAAAGCTTTCAATGGGGACATTTGTATCCAGTGACAACCAAGGATTCCCCCATTTTGGAGGGATTTCCTCTGACTTCCTGTCATGGAACTGGAAATGAAGAGAAATCTCCCCAATGAGACACTGGTGGCGAAAAAGAAACTGACAAGTGTTATAACCTTCCCTCACTATATTCAAAATGGGCAAAAAACTGTTTTCCTATCATTCTACTTCACCCAAGGTTCACACCCGTGCGTTTTCCGCAGTGTTTTGCAGAAACGCAGTACAGTCCATTGAACATGATTTCCTATGGGACAGGTTCTCCTCTCCGCGTTTTCACCTGCTGCGTTTTTTGGAGAGGGTCAGGGACTTTTTTGAAAGCAAAAAGTTTGTGTTTTTTTGGTTCTGTAGACTTCAGTGGAAAAGCATGTATTGCGATTTTGCTGCGTTTTTTGCCACGTGTTTAATTAGTTTTTTTATGTTTTTTGCGTTTTATATCTGCCTAGCAACAAGAAGAAAAAAAGAAAAAGCAAAACGCATTAAAAACACGTAAAAAAAATCAGGTGCAAAAATGCAAAACGCAATGTAGAAACGGTTCAAACGCAACCTGCATAGGTGTGAACCGAGCCTGAAAGAGTGCAAAAAAAAAGGAACAGTGCAGTGCAGAGCGGTGATTCCTGCCGGACCGCACTGCACACCACACCACAGAGCGGTGGCTGGTGGTGAACGGACCCTTATGCAGGCCATAGACGGGTCGAAAATCGGCCGATTTTTGGGGCCGAAAAAAAAATCGGCCAATTTTCACACCGTTAGTGGGTTTATTGGTCGGTCGTTTTTTTTGGGGTTTTGGCACTTTTTTTTAATCAGTAAAGCTGGAAAATTTGCGGCCAATTTTGACGATCGGCCAATTTTCCCAGCAATGATGGGCATATCGGCCGATCATTTTACTGATAAAAAATCTGCACATGAGCCGTGACCTGCAAGAAGAAGAAAAAGAAGCAGAAAAAGAAGAACAAAAAGAAGGGAGAAGAAGAAGAACAAAAAGAAGAAGGAGAAGAAGAAGAAGAGGAAGAAAAAGAACAAAAAGGAGAAGAAAAAAGGAGAAGAAGAAGAAAAGGAAGAACAAAAAGAAGAAGAAAAATTCCAGTCCGCTATTATATTTTATATCAAAAGTCTTGCGGTTGCAACAATGTATCCAAATAAAAACATCTGTATCCGAAATGGATACAAATGGATACATTGTTGCAACCACAACTTTTTCATGTAAAATATAATAGCGGAGTTCTCTGCAAGGGACAGAAGTAATTATGGGGTTAACTGCCGACCGTAGACGGGATGAAAATCTGCCGATTTTTTTTACCATTGGTGGTAACGTCGGCCAATCGGACGACTGATTTTTCGTTTTTTTTTTTTTTTTTTTTTTAAACGGCCATTTTTCGACCAATCTATGGCCTGCATTTCTGGCAGGATTACCCGGTAAAAATCGGCCGATTTTTGCACTGTTAGTGGGTTTATTGGTTGGTCGTTTTTTTCGGGGTTTTGGCACAATTTTTTAAATCAGAAAAGCTGGAAAATTTGCAGCCAAATTTGACGATCGGCCAATTTACCCGGCAATGATGGGCATATTGGCCGATCTTTTTACTGATAAAAAATCTGCGCATTAGCCGTGACCTGCAAGAAGGAGAAAAAGAAGAAGAAGGAAAAGAAGAAGAAAAAGAAGATGAAGAAGAAAAAGAAGAAGAAGAAAAAGAAGAGGAAGAAGAAAAGAAGATGAAGATGAAGAAGAAAAAGAAGAAGAAGAAGAAGAAGATGATGAAGAAGAAGAAGAAGCAGAAGAAGAAGAAAAAGGAGATGAAGAAGAAAAAGAAGATGAAGGAGAAAAAGAGAAGAAAAAGAAGAAGAAAAAGAAGAAGAAGAAAAAGAAAAAGAAGAAGATGAAGAAGAAAAAGAAGAAGAAAAAGAAGGAGAAGAAGAAAAAGAAGGAGAAGAAGAAGAAGATGAATAAGAAAAAGAAGATGAAGAAGAAGAAAAAGAAGAAATAGAAGATGAAGAAGAAAAAGAAGAAATAGAAGATGAAGAAGAAAAAGAAGAACAAAAAGAAGAACAAAAAGAAAAAGAAGAATTCCAGTCCGCTATTATATTTTATATGAAAAGTATTGCGGTTGCAACAATGTATCCAAATAAAAACATCTGTATCTGAAATGGATACAAATGGATACAAATGAATACAAATGGATACATTGTTGCAACCGCAAGACTTTTTCATGTAAAATATAATAGCGGAGCTCTCTGCAGGGACAGAAGTAATTATGGGGTTAAATGCTGGCTGTAGACGGGACGAAATTCTACAGATTTTTTTTTTATCATTGGTGGTAACGTCGGCCGATCAGATGACCAATTTTTCTTTTTCTTTTTTTTTTAAACGGCCAGTTTTCGACCCGTCTATGGCCTGCATTACTGGCAATAAAGGAAAGAAAGCCTAAAAAGAAAACTAATGCAGCCATTACATCTAAGAATTGGTAAGCTGAAATAGAATAAAATGTTTGTTTTTGAATGTAATACTCATTGAACGATGTTCACTGCTTCAGGAGCAGGGGCGGACTGACCATTCCAGAACTCGGGCACTGCCCGAGGGCCTGGGGTCAGTAGGGGGCCCCATGAGATGCCCCTGGTACCTTTCATAGGCTGTTTTGGGTGTGGTTTGAGTGTGGGCGAGGACACGGGGGCCCCATGATTTCCTACTGCCCGGGGACCCCATCAGTTGCCAGTCCGCTCCTGTTCCATGGTAGATATTGACACAAAATCACTGTCCAAGGAAAACCAGTTGCATGCAGAAGGAGAGATCAGCATTCATGGATGAGAAATGTCAGTTCTAACGGTGAAAGTCATTTTGAAACGTTTCTGGATATATTAATATTTTTTGTGCCCTCAGATTGAACACGACCCTCGTATGCCGGCTTATATCGCCACGCAGGGCCCGCTGTCACACACCATCGCAGACTTCTGGCAGGTGAGTTTGTGGATGTGAATACAGGGGGCTAATGTAATGCATACACAGGACGGCAGAGAGGGTGGGCTGTAATGCCTGCACAACGCGCAGATGCGCCCGTGTGTTTCTGTGCTGAGAGCTCAGTGTCCTCTCCCAGCGTAGAGACTGAGCTGTCATGGACAGCTCTCAGTCACTAGTCAGGATCGGGAGCTGGCGGGACAGGCTCCCGATCACAAGACCACTGTGACAACCAATCACAGTGGTCACCAGATTGGGAAGTCCATCTCCCCTCCCCTTGGGGCTTTAAAGACCCACTTAAAGGAATGCCAGGGCTGGGCAGAAATGGGTGAACATGATTAAAGGAGAACTCTGCTGACCACTAAATGACTACATAACATACCAGTGGTGTCATGTCAGGCTTCTCTGTAACACGTTTATTTAGTCCCAGTGCCTCGAACAGGTAAAGGTGGAAGGATCCAAAAAAATATGCATGGCCACTGCTAAAAAATGAGTACAATTAAGACTTTGCGTGCGATATTTTGCCAAAATGTCGCCATTTCGCTGAAATGTATCAGAGTCAGTGGGGTGGGTGAAATTTAAGCAGTGTTAAGCCCTCAGCTTTGAAATAGACATTCCCCAATAAACTATTTGTTACAACTCCTCACTCCAGAACTTGCAGTTTACACCTTTCAGAGCTGATTGATTCTGCTCTTTCAGTGCTGCTTCCCTGAATTTCCCATCTTTAAAGGAAAGCGTTAGCAGCGGACTGTGCAGTCCCCTGCCAGTGTGTCAGCTGGGAGAAGGAAGGATGGAGGAGGTGGGGGGAGCAGGCAAACGCCTTGTCATCACTGGCCTCAGGGCTGTGTGTTTCTATTGATGCACACAGTGCAAAGAGAGACAACTCTGGTCCCTGCATGCCAGGGTGACCCTATAGAATGCTGCAAGAGAAAGGAGCCACCCTGAAACAGGAAACCCGGGGCAGTGATCATGGCAGCAGCCTAAACAATAGACATTCCCCAATAAACTATTTGTTAAAACTCCTTACTCCAGAACTTGCAGTTTACGCCTTTCAGAGCTGATGGCTCTTGCTCTTTCAGTGCTGCTTCCCTGAACTTCCTATCTTTAAAGGAAAGCGTTAGCAGTGGACAGTGCAGTCCCCTGCCAGTCTTTCATCTGGCATTTTGAAACTCGGGCACTGCCCGACGGCCCGGGGTCAGTAGGGGGCCCCATGAGATGCCCCTGGTACCTTTTTCATAGGCTTTTTTGAGTTTGAGCAAGGACACAGGGGCCCCATGATCCCCTGTTGCCCGGGTGCCCCATGAGTTGTCAGTCCATTCCTGTGCCGGACCGCACTGCACACCAGCCGCTGCATTATAGAGCGGTGGCTGCTGTGAATGGACCCTTACTGGCAGGATCATTAGGTAAAAATAAAGAAAGAAAGCCTTAAAAAGAAAACTAAAGCAGCCATCACATCTAAGAATTGGTAAGGTGAAATAGAATAAATGCCAGAAAGAAGGATGGAGGAGGTGGGAGGAGCAGGCAAACGCCTTGTGTCACACTCATCGTCATCACAGGCTACAGAGCTGTGTGTTTCTATTGATGCACACAGTGCAGAGAGAGACAACTGCGGGCAAACGGAGTGCATTTTTGACTTGTATTCGGGGTGTTGTTAACTTTGACTGACCCCCCCCCCCACACACAAGGACATTGCGATCAGAATGCGGTGCAGGAAGCTGCGCGGGAACGCAGCTCTCTCGCACCGCATTCCAGTGTGAACGAGCCCCCAGTGTAAACAAAGTCATGTGATCACGGTTACAATGCTGCCATGATAATCACATGGCTTTGTTGTAGGCTTTTGTTTTTTCTTTTTGAATAAATCCGTATCAGTGGAGTCTGACCCTCTCTGTACCTGTAGATGGTTTGGGAAAACGGCTGCACGGTCATAGTGATGTTATCACCATTGGTGGAGGACGGAGTAAAACAGTGCGATCGCTATTGGCCTGACGAAGGCTCCTCCCTCTATCACATCTATGAGGTTAGTATTATACTGCAGTTGTACCTTTATCTCTGCTCCTCCCTCTGTCACATCTGGGAGGTTAGTGTTATACTGAAGTTGTACCTTTATCTCTGCTCCTCCCTCTGTCACATCTGTGAGGTTAGTGTTATACTGAAGTTGTACCTTTATCTCTGCTCCTCCCTCTGTCACATCTGTGAGGTTAGTATTATACTGCAGTTGTACCTTTATCTCGGTTTCCTCCCTCTATCACATCTGTGAGGTTAGTATTAAACTGAAGTTGTACCTTTATCTCTGCTCCTCCCTCTATCACATCTGTGAGGTTAGTATTATACTGAAGTTGTACCTTTATCTCTGCTCCTCCCTCTATCACATCTGTGAGGTTAGTATTATACTGAAGTTGTACCTTTATCTGCTCCTCCCTCTATCACATCTATGAGGTTAGTATTGTACTGCAGTTGTACCTTTATCTCTGTCCTCCCTCTATCACATCTATGAGGTTAGTATTATACTGAAGTTGTACCTTTATCTCTGCTCCTCCCTCTATCACATCTGTGAGGTTAGTATTATACTGAAGTTGTACCTTTATCTCTGCTCCTCCCTCTATCACATCTATGAGGTTAGTATTATACTGCAGTTGTACTTTTATCTCTGCTCCTCCCTCTATCACATCTATGAGGTTAGTATTATACTGCAGTTGTACCTTTATCTCTGCTCCTCCCTCTATCACATCTATGAGGTTAGTATTATACTGAAGTTGTACCTTTATCTCTGCGCCTCCCTCTGTCACATCTATGAGGTTAGTATTATACTGAAGTTGTACCTTTATCTCTGCTGCTCCATGGTGGCAGAAGGGGGCTTTCAGTTCAGAAGCATAGGGAACCTTTACCGAGCCGGAGTTGTTCTTCACAGGTGAACCTTGTATCGGAACATATCTGGTGTGAAGACTTTCTGGTTCGCAGCTTTTATCTGAAGAACGTTCAGACCCAGGAGACGAGGACCCTGACACAGTTCCATTTCCTGAGCTGGCCAGCAGAGGGCATTCCCAGCAGCACTCGCCCACTGCTTGACTTCCGCAGGTGAGAATCTCTAAGGCCATTTTCACATCTATGCAGTTTGTGGTTCATCCCTTTCTATAGTGCTTTTTGAGTTTTTGCACATGTTTTTGACGCATTTTTTACGCCTTCTGCGTTTTTTTTTCCAAGTTGTTGCTGGGCAGATTAAAATGCAAAAAGCATCAAACACGCACTACATGCATTTCTGCAGCATCTCCATTGAAGTCTATTGAACCAAAAACGCAACGTTTTGCATTTATAAAAGTCCCTGATCCTTTCCAAAACACGCACCGGGTGAAAACACGGAGATGTGAACGTGTCCCATAGGAAATCATTTTAAATGGACTGTAGTGCGTTTCTGCAAAATGCACCACAAAGTGCTTAGGTGTGAACCTAGACTAATAGGCTCATCAGTATGTACAGCTCAGCTAGATATAAAGCTGACCTGGTATGACATATACCATACAATCTAATTGTACACTTATGACACGAAAATTAGGTTCCATTACAAAGCATATGGATTATTTACAAATGAAATATCTGTTTTCTAGCTTATTTTTCTATTTTTCTGCGATCTCTCTGATGGATTTTTCATTTTTGAAGCCTTACAATGGCCTGTTTCGCTTGCATGGACAGCTCCTTTGAACGCATGATGTAGGTTCACAGCAAAAGATTCCAAATGCAAATACCACACTTAAGCTGGCCATACACTATACAATTTTCTTGAGAATTTTGCTTTAGATTTACCAAAAACCATATAATATGAGGTCAAACCTAAGCAGCACTTTCAATTGTATCCAATTAGGCAGGCCCTTGCACTACATAGTTGAAGGTAAATCTAGAGGAAATTGGGCAGAAATTGGACAGAAAATTGTATAACAACTCCAGACCTTTTACTTGCTTAATTGATGAAGAAATAACGAAGGGTAGCCCACACCTGGCCATGAAACAGCTTTTGATTCAATTGTCCAATTACTTTTGATCCCTTGAAAAAGGGGGGATGGCTACTCTTAAGAGCTGTAATTCCTAAACTCTTCCTCCAATTTGGATGTACATACCCTCAAATTAAACCTGAGTGCACACTTTCAGCCCATATCCCTTATATAACTATAGCTGGAATATGTTTTGGTAAATACCTGAAAAAAAAACTAAAATTGTGCCTGTGTCCAAATATATATGGACCTAACTGTATATCTTACATTTGATGGGATTTTTAAGGGAACCTTAGATTACACACAAAAAAAAATTTTTTTTAACCACCTCCCCCATCCGGCCGTTGTATATAAACGGCCGGAAGGTGGCAGTGCAGGGTTGGGTGGCCATTTATAAACGGCCTCCCCGCACCCTGCTTGTGTGCGCTCCCTGGGAGCGCGCAGCACCGTGATCCGGTGCCCAATATGTCCTCTGGACACAGTGAAACACCGATCGTCATACAGGACCTTTGTGCGAGGTCCCGATCATGTGATCACTGATTGGCCAATCAGTGATCACATGCAGAGTAGTAAGCAAGATGTCACTTCTGACATCATTGCTTACTACGTGTGAAATCTGTGAACTATCACAGAGGTCACATGGTACAAGGCTATTCACAACAGCCTTGTACCATGTGACAAGCTGTGACCAACCACAGCTCACACAGTAGTTCTCAATGGATGCAAGAATGCAGCCAGAGAGAAGGAGAAATGCTTGCTTTTACAGCCTTTATGGGTGTAAAAGCAATCAGTGTGAAAAAAAAAATCATCACCCCCCACAAGTAGTAGAGTGTCACCATGGTGATACTGTACTGCTAGGGTGACAGTATGTAAAAAAACAAAAAAAAAAACATAATAATATAAAAAAATAAAATAAAAATGTAAAAGAAAATGTTTAAAAAATTATAATTTTTGGTTATAAACTAATTTGTGTTATTTGTTTTTTTTACTAAAAAGATAAATTTTGGCCAAGATTTATGATGAAATATTATTTATTTGTTACATCTTATAAGAAAAACACTTTTCAAAATTTTTTGGACTTTTTCATTTACATAGCAAAAAAAATAAAAATCCCAGTGGTGAATAAATACCACCAAAAAAAGTTTTATCTGTCTCGAAAAAATGCTAAAAAATTCATATGGGTACAGTGTTGCATGACCGCGCAATTGTCATTCAAAGTGCGACAGCGCTGAAAGCTGAAAATTGGCCTGGACAGGAAGGGGGTGAAAGTGTCCGGACTGGAAGTGGTTAAAAACAAGAATGAACCTTTTTTTTTTATACAAGTCATTGAAAATTTCTTTTGTTTTGCTTATCAGTACACAGAACATGGTCATTACATATATATATATATATAGCACAGCAATTTTGACTACTCCGCCACTTTCCAAGATTGTAGTTATATGTATCCGGTGATATCACCCAAAACTGATTTCCATCTTGCAAACCCAAAGTTTGACTGCAGATATATTCAGCCTGGGATCCGACGCGTTTCGAATGCATTGATATAGATTCTTCTTCAGGGATATGATACCACTCTATAATAAGAATTACTAATAGTCAATTGTTAGCCAACATTTTTATAACTATACCAAACCGTATGAGGGAAATGACTTACATAACCACCACGGATAATCAAAAGAAGATGTTTCACTCTGTCAGGAGATGAATCCCCTCCATCATTTCGACATGCAAGGACCACGGGTGCCACCTCACGACCACCGCCATAATAAAGCGTGTGTATGGGTATAATGAAATATGTCATGATATATCGTGAAAAACTACAAGTACAAAAGAACAGCATCAACATAGACCAATAGGAGAGAAATAAACGCATATGTCTGAAAAGGCTGCCTCCTACATATATACAGGGCCGTGGATAAGGGGATACCACCGGTCCTCCTGTACGGGGCCCAGGACAGCAGGGGGGCCTAGGCGGCTGGGTGAATCAGATGTGGGCAGGGAGGGTGGTTGGCATGGGGGAGGGGGAGGGGGAGCAATTACTGGAACCGATCCCCTGTATGGTTCTCTCTGCTGCGGCTGAAAGCCGGCTTCTTCTCCTCTCCCTCCTGCTGGCTTTCAGCTGCTGCAGAGAGAGGCATACAGGGGATCGGTTCCAGTAATTGCCCAACAACATTGCAGCCGTGGGGGACCTGGGCAGCAGGGGGAAACATATGGTGCACAGGGAGGGTGATGGGTGTGGCGGGGGGGCAATTACTGGAACCGATCCCCTGTACGGTTCTCTCTGCTGCGGCTGAAAGCCGGCTTCTTCTCCTCTCCCTCACGCTGGCTTTCAGCTGCTGCAGAGAGAGGCATACAGGGGATCAGTTCCAGTAATTGCCCAACAACACTGCAGCCGTGGAGGACCTGGGCAGCAGGGGGAAACATATGGTGCACAGGGAGGGTGATGGGCGCACCAGGGGGGCAATTACTGGAACTGATCCCCTGTACGGTTCTCTCTGCAGCAGCTGAAAGCCAGCGTGAGGGAGAGGAGAAGAAGCCGGCTTTCAGCCACAGCAGAGAGAACCGTACAGGGGATCGGTTCCAGTAATTGCCCCCCCCCCACACACCCATCACCCTCCCTGTGCACCATATGTTTCCGCCTGCTGCCCAGGACCCCCATGCCTGCAGTGATGCTGGATTCCCTCCTCTCCTTCCCACCGGCAGCTGCAAGCACACAATAGGATCCTTCAGGATGGAGGGTAGGGGGAAGGGTCCAATAATTATGTCACATTTACTACCCCCTTCCTTTCTTGAATGAACACAATGAGTGATCGGTACTGACCCCCATTCATTAAAACTGAAGCATAGTAAACTTTTTTTCTTGGGGGAGGGCAGCTATCAGGTTGACTGTATGGGGCCCCGTGGTGTCTAACAGCAGCCCTGCATTTATAAATCCATCCTCTGCATTGATTTTCTATGTACACTGTGCCTTTGTGTGCTTCTCTCTTCCTTTTGTTTTCTCCTAGCTAAGCTGGAGTAAGATTTGCTCAGGTGTTGCCCTATACACAGTCCGGTTGTTGGCTGTATGACTTCCAAACTCAATGTATTGACCTGTGACCTCTCCGTCCTCCTCCATCCTCTCTCAGCCCACAGCCGCCCCTGTCATTTTTTGTGATTTGCAGCTTGTAATTTTGGTCTCAGTTGCATAGTCACAAAAGTGATCATGAGCAGGTGGGACACGCCTCCTTCTCTGCGACCGCCGTCCGTTCCTGTGCCTGCAGACAGGTGGCGCCATCAAGTCTGGGACAGGTTGATTTATCAAGAATTCTCACAGCCTGAATCCCCAAAAAAGTGCAATGTAGTGTAGATTGTTCAATGGGGCAAAGAAAACGATGTGCATCGGCTACCTTCTGTGCTGTTCGAATGTAAATCTTTGATTTAAATGTCACATTTGAGCACTAAATGGGGCTTGGTGTGTAAAGGGATTCTAGGGCTCATGTACACGGGGCGTTTGGAAAACACTTCTGAACGATGGAAACTGACTGCTGGAAAATGTAGGTTAAAAAATGTCTGTTTGCATACCGCGTTTATGCGCGTTTGCGTTTAGAAGCGTTTTTTAAAGATAACCTCAGGAGACCTTCCAAAATGCCCAGAATGCACTGAAAAACAGTAAAAAATTAACTATTTCAGACATTTTGAGAGGAATAGAGAGAGCAGAAGCAGAGAGAGCAGTATGTGTTGAGATTACCCGTCTTTTCTGGTTGTATTCACTATGGATCCCATCATGAGCGTAATGCGGCGCGTTCTACCATTATTTCCTTCACGCAAAACCTGGAACTGACTGCGCTGGTGTGCCGGGTCCATTTGAGTACATGGAAAACACTTTGCATGCATTTCTGATGATGAAAAAAGGCCCTGGACAGCATCTGGATATGGAACAGTTAAAAAACACTTCTAAATGCAAACGCTTATAAACACAGTTAGCCACATTTACAAGCGTTTGGCGTTTGAAACTCTGATAAACTCTTCTCCTGAACGCAACTTTGGGTGCGTTCAAAAAAAACTCCCTCCCCCCCACTGTAAACTCAACTGCCTGTAAACGACGATGTGTACATGGAGACATAGGAAACCATTAGGTGATCATATCCCCCCTTATGTATTATACATGGAGATCATATCCCCCTTATGTATTATACATGGTGATCATATCCCCCCTTATGTATTATACATGGTGATCATATCCCCCTTATGTATTATACATGGAGATCATATCCCCCCTTATGTATTATACATGGAGATCATATCCCCCCTTATGTATTATACATGGTGATCATATCCCCCCTTATGTATTATACATGGAAATCATATCCCCCTTATGTATTAAACATGGAGATCATATCCCCCCTATGTATTATACATGGAAATCATATCCCCCCCCTTATGTATTATACATGGAGATCATATCCCCCCTTATGTATTATACATGGAAATCATATCCCCCTTATGTATTATACATGGAAATCATATCCCCCCTTATGTATTATACATGGAGATCATATCCCCCCTTATGTATTATACATGGAAATCATATCCCCCCCCTTTATGTATTATACATGGAAGATCATATCCCCCCTTATGTATTATACATGGAGATCATATCCCCCTTATGTATTATACATGGAGATCATATCCCCCCTTATGTATTATACATGGAGATCATATCCCCCCCTTATGTATACATGGAGATCATATCCCCCTTATGTATTATACATGGAGATCATATCCCCTTTATGTATTATACATGGAAATCATATCCCCCTTATGTATTATACATGGAGATCATATCCCCCTTATGTATTATACATGGTGATCATATCCCCCCTTATGTATTATACATGGTGATCATATCCCCCTTATGTATTATACATGGTGATCATATCCCCCCTTATGTATTATACATGGTGATCATATCCCCCCTTATGTATTATACATGGTGATCATATCCCCCCTTATGTATTATACATGGTGATCATATCCCCCTTATGTATTATACATGGAGATCATATCCCCCCTTATGTATTATACATGGAATCATATCCCCCCTTATGTATTATACATGGTGATCATATCCCCCCTTATGTATTATACATGGAAAAATCATATCCCCCTTATGTATTATACATGGAGATCATATCCCCCCTTATGTATTATACATGGAAATCATATCCCCCCCCCTTATGTATTATACATGGAGATCATATCCCCCCTTATGTATTATACATGGAAATCATATCCCCCCTTATGTATTATACATGGAAATCATATCCCCCTTATGTATTATACATGGAGATCATATCCCCCCTTATGTATTATACATGGAAATCATATCCCCCTTATGTATTATACATGGAAATCATATCCCCCTTATGTATTATACATGGAGATCATATCCCCCTTATGTATTATACATGGAGATCATATCCCCCTTATGTATTATACATGGAGATCATATCCCCCTTATGTATTATACATGGAAATCATATCCCCCTTATCCCCCCTTATGTATTATACATGGAGATCATATCCCCCCTTATGTATTATACATGGAGATCATATCCCCCCTTATGTATTATACATGGAGATCATATCCCCCCTTATGTATTATACATGGAGATCATATCCCCCTTATGTATTATACATGGAGATCATATCCCCCCTTATGTATTATACATGGAGATCATTCCCCCCTTATGTATTATACATGGAGATCATATCCCCCCTTATGTATTATACATGGAGATCATATCCCCCCCCTTATGTATTATACATGGTGATCATATCCCCCTTATGTATTATACATGGAGATCCTATCCCCCCTTATGTATTATACATGGAGATCATATCCCCCCTTATGTATTATACATGGAGATCATATCCCCCCTTATGTATTATACATGGTGATCATATCCCCCCTTATGTATTATACATGGAGATCATATCCCCCCTTATGTATTATACATGGTGATCATATCCCCCTTATGTATTATACATGGAGATCATATCCCCCTTATGTATTATACATGGAGATCATATCCCCCCCTTATTATTATACATGGATGATCATATCCCCCTTATGTATTTATACATGGACATCATATCCCCCCTTATGTATTATACATGGAGATCATATCCCCCCTTAATCTCCTCTTCTCAAGACAGAATACATTCAGTTCCTCTAATCTTTCCTCATAGCTGATCTCCTCCATGCCTCTTATCAGTTTGGTTGCCCTTCTCTGTACTTTCTCCAGTTCCCCAATGTTCTTTTTGTGAATTGGTGCCCAAAACTGAACTGCATATTCCAGGTCTTACTAATGATTTGTACGGGGGAAATGATATCTGTCTCTCTGGAGTCTATACCTCTATTAATACAAGAGAGGATTTTGCTCGCTTTAGAAACCGCAGCTTGGCATTGCATGCCATTATTAAGCTTGCGATCTACCAGAACCCCCAGATCCTTCACCACTGATTCCCCCAGATCCTTCTCCACCATTGATTCCCCCAGTTGTACCCCCCCTAGTATGTATGAAACATGCATATTCTTAGCCCCCAAGTGCAGACCTTTTTAGATTTCCAGTATATGACAGGTCCACTTAGAGATCTGTCTAGGAAACTGTAAGAAACAATATCATCTGTTTTCTTGTTTTCCAGGAAGGTGAACAAGTCTTTCCGTGGACGTTCCTGCCAAAATGCCCAATCATCGTGCACTGCAGGTACTGTGACCTATTAAGCCACTGCTAATAAAAGCACCTATCAGCCAATCAGGTTTTTCCAGTTGCCTACTTTTTTTTAACACGGATTAGGTGGTTAAAGCTGAAATCTCATTGGTTGCTATTTTGAACGCAGACACATTCCTTTCCTGTTGTTCTGTCTCAGTAGTGGATAGGTAGCCAAGGAACCGTGTGTAGTACCACTTATAGCCAGTGGGTGGTGCACAGGCATCCCAAACTGAATTCTAATGTGCAAGTCTGTAATGGGACACAAAGGAGATTTACTAACATTAGAGAGTGCAAAATCTGGTGCAGCTCTGCATAGAAACCAATCCCTTTAAAAATTGCTAGGTGGCTGTCTGTTTCTGGCCTCCATACATTCACTAAGAACAAACATGCAGCATTTGCTGCCCTGTATACTCAGAAAGTACCAAAACCACTGGATCAGTGCAGGAGCCAGACGGCTAGCATTTTCGCCAAAGGCAGGCCTTAAATTTAACTCTGCATAGGTTTCCCTTAAATGTATTTTTAAACCCCTGTCTCAAATCTGAGAATGGGTACTTGTAAGCCAGTCACAGTCTATAGCAGGGGTCTCCAAACTTTCTAAGCACAGGGTCAGTTTACTGTCCTTCAGGCTTTAGGGGGGCCAGACTGAGGTCAGTAGGAGTAGAAAATGCCCAGCGTCAGTGCCTCATCATTGGTTTTAATTGGAGGAATAGTGCCCCATTGTTGGTATCAATGTGAAGAATAGTGTCCCATTATTGGTATCAATGTGAAGAATAGTGCCCCATTGTTGGTATCAATGTGAAGAATAGTGACCCATTGTTGGTATCAATGTGAAGAATAGTGACCCATTGTTGGTATCAATGTGAAGAATAGTGACCCATTGTTGGTATCAATGTGAAGAATAGTGCCTCATTGTTGGTATCAATGTGAAGATTAGTGCCTCATTGTTGGTATCAATGTGAAGAATAGTGCCCCATTATTGGTATCAATGTGAAGAATAGTGCCCCATTATTGGTATCAATGTGAAGAATAGTGCCCCATTATTGGTATCAATGTGAAGAATAGTGCCCCATTGTTGGTATCAATGTGAAGAATAGTGCCCCATTGTTGGTATCAATGTGAAGAATAGTGCTCCATTTGTTGTTGGTTGGTATCAATGTGAAGAATAGTGCCCCATTGTTGGTATCAATGTGAAGAATAGTGCCCCATTGTTGGTATCAATGTGAAGAATAGTGACCCATTGTTGGTATATATGTGAAGAATAGTGCCCCATTGTTGGTATCAATGTGAAGAATAGTGCCTCATTGTTGGTATCAATGTGAAGAATAGTGCCCCATTGTTGGTATCAATGTGAAGAATAGTGCCCCATTGGTGGTATCAATGTGAAGAATAGTGCCCCATTGTTGGTATCAATGTGAAGAATAGTGCCTCATTGTTGGTATCAATGTGAAGAATAGTGCCCCATTGTTGGTATCAATGTGAAGAATAGTGTCCCATTGTTGGTATCAATGTGAAGAATAGTGCCCCATTGTTGGTATCAATGTGAAGAATAGTGCCCCATTGTTGGTATCAATGTGAAGAATAGTGCCCCATTGTTGGTATCAATGTGAAGAATAGTGCCCCATTATGGTATCAATGTGAAGAATAGTGCCCCATTGTTGGTATCAATGTGAAGAATAGTGCCCCATTGTTGGTATCAATGTGAAGAATAGTGCCCCATTGGTGGTATCAATGTGAAGAATAGTGCCCCATTGTTGGTATCAATGTGAAGAATAGTGCCTCATTGTTGGTATCAATGTGAAGAATAGTGCCCCATTGTTGGTATCAATGTGAAGAATAGTGCCCCATTGTTGGTGTCAGTGTGAAGAATAGTGACCCATTATTGGTATCAATGTGAAGAATAGTGCCCCATTGTTGGCATCAATGTGAAGAATAGTGCCCCATTGTTGGTATGAATGTGAAGAAGAATAGTGCCTCATTGTTGGTATCAATGTGAAGAATAGTGTCCCATTGTTGGTATCAATGTGAAGAATAGTGCCCCATTATGGTATCAATGTGAAGAATAGTGTCCCATTGTTGGTATCAATGTGAAGAATAGTGCCCCATTATGGTATCAATGTGAAGAATAGTGCCCCATTGTTGGTATCAATGTGAAGAATAGTGCCCCATTGGTGGTATCAATGTGAAGAATAGTGCCCCATTGTTGGTATCAATGTGAAGAATAGTGCCCCATTGTTGGTATCAATGTGAAGAATAGTGCCCCATTATGGTATCAATGTGAAGAATAGTGTCCCATTGTTGGTATCAATGTGAAGAATAGTGCCCCATTATGGTATCAATGTGAAGAATAGTGCCCCATTGTTGGTATCAATGTGAAGAATAGTGCCCCATTGGTGGTATCAATGTGAAGAATAGTGCCCCATTGTTGGTATCAATGTGAAGAATAGTGCCCCATTGTTGGTATCAATGTGAAGAATAGTGCCCCATTGTTGGTATCAATGTGAAGAATAGTGCCCCATTATGGTGGTATCAATGTGAAGAATAGTGCCCCATTGTTGGTATCAATGTGAAGAACAGTGCCCCATTGTTGGTATCAATGTGAAGAATAGTGCCCCATTATTGGTATCAATGTGAAGAATAGTGTGCCCCATTGTTGGTATCAATGTGAAGATTAGTGTCCCATTATTGGTATCAATGTGAAGAATAGTGCCTCATTATGGTATCAATGTGAAGAATAGTGCCCCATTGGTGGTGTCAGTAGGGGCAATGGTGCCAGGGTCAGTTGCTGGAATAGCACCCCAAGGGCCAGATAAAGGCAAGCAAAGGGTCACATCTGGAACGTGGGACGCAGTTTGGAGATCACTGCTCTGTTGTATTGTATAGTGTTGCCAGTCTAACATGTTTCAGGCACTAGAGGATGAAGAGGAAGGTGTACAAGTACAGAAAAAGATAACACGCAGAGAGCACCTTGCTAGCGTAATGATGCTGATTTATTGTCTAACAAGCAGGCAGGTGACACAGGAAAATTCAAAGCTGGAATTGGAAATAGAGTTGTCACCTGCTTGGCTCTGCAGTTGGAAGAGATGAGTGAATGACAAGACTGGCTGAATGGAATTAAGAATCTTTTGAGGCAATATGTAGGTAGATAATTGAACTGTGTGCTCATCTGTTTTTCTGGTTTTAATAGTAATATATATATATATATCTATGTATCCACTTGCTTGTCATTTGTTCTCATTTTGAACATTTTTTCTAGTGACGGAGCTGGAAGGACGGGAACCTATATCCTCATAGATATGGTCCTCAATCGCATGGCTAAAGGTGAGGAAGAAATTGTATGACAATACATGAACATGGCAGACATTATAAACGGCCAGTAAACAATAAAAATATTATACAAGGAAACATATTAACGGTTCTGAATCAATATGTTAGGAATTTATCAGAACTGAAAATATTGAGTGTGTATTGTGCTCATAAATTACTGCAGGGTGACCCTTGCAGGCCTCTCTTGCTCTATATTTGACTTTCCAAACCCTCTAACCTCAGAGTAACCATTGAAATATATTTTGTGTCTCAGGGAACCCTTGCTAATCAGATATCATTAGGAGTTAATGGGAAAAATGCACTTACAGTACACTGTTTGTCAGTGAGAATTCCTCCCTTTCAGCAGTGGGCAGAATTCCACAGACAAATAAAAAGGTAAATGGTGTCACGCAGGTGGTTCTGCCAAGTGGTGTTATTCCCTAAACTATGCAGACATCATCACATAGGAGGTCAATCAGCCACAGCTCAAGAAATTCCCTAGCAACCCCGGAAGGAACCCTGGTTGAGCATGGCTGACATAATGTATAGGCAGGGGCAGACTGACAACTCATGGGGCCCCCGGGCAATAGGGGATCATGGGGCCACTGTGTCCTTGCCCAAACTCAAAAAAACCTTTGAAAAAAGGTACCAGGGGCATCTCATGGGGCCCCCTACTGACCCCGGACCCTCGGGCAGTGCCTGAGTTTCCAAATGGTCAGTCCGCCCCTGTGTATAGGTCATTTACATAAACTATTTGGCCAAACGTATGTGGACACCCTTCCGAATGATTGAACTCAGGTGTTTCCAGTGAAGGGTAATCATACAAAGACATTTTGGGCAACTCTGCTCTTCAAACATTTTGGTAACAGTTTGGAGAAGACCTTTTATGTTCCATGACTGTGCCCCTGTGTACAAAGCCAGCTCCTTTAAGACATGGGATGAAGAGTTTGATCTGGAGGAATTCAATGGGCCTGCACAGAACCCTGACCCCAACCCTACTGTACACCCTTGGGATGAATTGGAATGAGCCAGGTCTTGTCAACCAACATCTCCATAGGGACATAGTTTGATGGGTTTGGTGTGCAGGAACTAATGTCCTACACAGAGCCCTGACCTCAACCCTACTGAACACCTTTGGGATGAATTGGAATGAGCCAGGTCTTGTCAACCAACATCTCCATAGAGTCATAATTTGATGGGTTTGGTGTGCAGGAACTAATGTCCTACACAGAGCCCTGACCTCAACCCTACTGAACACCTTTGGGATGAATTGAAATTTGCCAGGTTTTCTCATCCAACATCTCTCTAAAGACACGGTTTGATTGGTTTGGTGTGGAGGAACTTTAGTGTCCTGTACAGAACCCTGACCTTAAACCTCCTGAACGCCTTTGGGATGACTTGGAATGCCAATTGTGAGCCAGATCCTCTTATCCAACATCAGTTCCTGACCTCACAAATGTTCTTGTATTCAGAATCAAATCCTACAAGGACGTTGTAACTACCCAAATGCAACTAAAATGACATCAATTGTTTATGTAATACAGTAGTAAATGGTTCTTATGTGGTTTCTTCATTGCCACAATTATTCAACCCCTTAAAGACTACCACTCTGAAGAACAGAGGTTCATACAGGTGCTTTCCATCAGGTATTGAAAAACACCTGTGGATGTCACCGAGCAGCAATCAAGCATAATAAGCACCAATTAGGCAGCTTTAAAATGACTGTGATACTCAGCTCCTTCTAGACATTTACTGGTGTGGTTACAAACATGGTGAAGGCAAGAGAATGGTCCAGGAAGACAAGAGAAGAGGTGATTTCTCTTCACAGGAAGGGCAATGGCTATAAGAAGATTGCAAAGATGTTAAACATACCAAGAGACACCTTAGGAAGCATCATTCGCAAATTCAAGGCAAAGGGCACTGTTGAAACGCTACCTGGTCGTGGCAGAAAGAAGATGCTGACTTCGACTGCTGTGCGCTACCTGAAGCGTAGAGTGGAGAGAAGTCCCCGTGTGACTGCTGAGGAACTGAGAAAAGATTTGTCAGATGTGGGTACAGAAGTTTCAGCCCAGACAATAAGACGCACACTGCGTAATGAAGGCCTCCGTGCCAGAACTCCCAGGCGTACCCCCTTGCTGTCTCCAAAGAATAAGAAGAGTCGACTGCAGTATGCAAAAGCCATGTGGACAAACCACAAAAGTTGTGGGATAGTGTTCTGTGGACTGATGAAACAAAATTAGAACTGTTTGGGCCCATGGATCAACGCTATGTTTGGAGGAGGAAGAACAAGGCCTATGATGAAAAGAACACCTTGCCTACTGTGAAGCATGGTGGAGGGTCAATCATGCTTTGGGGCTGTTTTGCTTCTGCAGGTACAGGGAAGCTTCAGCGTGTGCAAAAGGTACCATGAATTCTCTTCGTACCAGGAGATATTGGATGGAAACGTGATGCAGTCCGTCACACACCTGAGGCTTGGGAGACGTTGGACCTTTCAACAGGACAATGATCCCAAGCATACCTCCAAGTCCACTAGAGCATGGTTGCAGAGGAAAGGCTGGAACATTTTGGAGTGGCCATCGCAGTCACCAGACTTAAATCCGATTGAGAACCTCTGGTGGGACTTAAAGAAAGCAGTTGCAGTGCGCAAGCCTAAGAATGTGACTGAACTGGAGGCCTTTGCCCATGAAGAATGGGCGAAGATACCCGTAGATCGCTGCAAGACACTTGTGTCAAGCTATGCTTCACTTCACGTTTAAAAGCTGTTATAACTGTAAAAGGATGCTGTACTAAGTACTAAGATTGAATGTCACTTGGGGGTTGAATAAAACTGATAATGCTGTGAGCACAGAAAAGACATTTGTGGTTATTTCATTATAACTGTTATGTTATATTTGTCTGACCTACAAGTGCCTCTTTAATGTAAATGTAAGCAAGATGACTGAATGATCAAAAGCAATGTCAAACTGGCCAAAACACTCAATTTCAGTGGGGGTTGAATAATTTTGGTCACAACTGTATGTAACATGTTCTGTATGATCCTGTGTGCAGGTGTGAAGGAGATCGATATTGCGGCCTCACTGGAGCATGTCCGGGACCAGCGCCCTGGGATGGTGCGGACAAAGGTATAGAGCAATCCTACTCTCTTAGGATGTACACTATGTCTGTAGCATTCTCCCATTGCCAAGGAGCTGCTGCTGATCATTTTATGTTACAAGGTGTCTCAAACTGGAACTTCTTATATCAACCAATCAGATTGTCCCTTTCATTCTTTCAAAATGTACCGAGGGAGTGAAAGGGAGAACTATGGTTATAGTCAGCAGACAGGGCTACTTTAAAGCAAACCTGTGACATTTTTAGGTAAATAAAATTGGCCCTTTCTTGTGTAGCAGGCAGACAGAAGTGTCTGCCATAACCAGGGGATCTCTTTTTTTAATACAATACTAAAGGTTAATTTTTTTTGTAAAATATTAAACATGTCTATACTTACCTGCTGTGTGCTGTAGTTTTGTACAGAGCAGCCCGGTTCCGCCTCTTCTTGGGTCCCCCACAGGTTCTCCTGGTTCCTTTATGTTGGGTGCCCCCATAGCAAGCAGCTTACTATGGGGGCACCTGCTGCCCATTCACACACGGAGCTGTGGCTTGGCCCCGCCACCTGTCTCTCCTCATTGACTGACTAGCTGTGATTGACAAAAGTGGGAGCCAATGCTCCCGTTTTCTGTCTCAGCCAATGAGGAGGCAGAGACCCGTGAAAGCTGAGGCTCTCAACACTCACTTGATACAACATAGACATATATTTGCTGTAAAGTCAGCTGGTACCAATCAATACATTTGATTGCACCTAAATAAAAACTAAAGAGATAATGAAACTTGTACACAATTTGTGAGTGCCTAATCACAGCTTAAGTAGAATTCCAGCCTAAACCTAGCTAGCCTTAAAATAATCTAGATCTTGATGGGGCGCAGGTAAGTATTGAGGGGACTGGGGGCACTGCTGCATACAGAAGGTTTTTTACCTTTATGCATAGAATGTATGAAGGTAAAAACCTTGAGCCTTTACAACCGCTTAATTTCAAACTACAGCTTTTATGTCTCCTTGCTTGTCCACTCTTATCCTCCGATCCCTTTTTTTAGCCACCAAAACTGATAGGCAGCTTCAATGGCCAACAGAGACGTGTGGTGGACAAGAGGGGGTTGGTGCCAGAGGGTGGAACTCCAAGCCTGGCTAGAATTTTCCTAATACAGTTTTGCAGGGTTTGGGGTTCCCATTGAAGAGCTGCATGCTCAACAGTCTAAAGCAGGGGTGTCCAACCTTTTGACTTTCCTGGACCATATTGGAAGAAGAGGAATTGTCTTGGGTCACACTTAACAAACCACTAACAATAAAGATAGCTGATGAGCAGAAATGTTGGGCAGATGATCAGATTTCAACAATGTGCTGTGTGTTCAGGCTGAGTCAGTCAGAGACAGTTTCAGGTGTAGAGGGGGGGTTTGTGGGGAAGGGGGGGGCACAACTGAAATCTGGGGGGGTGGCCCACCCCAGCAGCCCCCTGGATCCATTCATGCGGCACTTGGCTGGCGCTAGCTAGCCGGAGTCCCTGAATGTGCTGCTGGTGCTATTGCGAACGTATAGACATGTTTAATTTTTTTTTTTGTAAAATATTAAACATGTCTATACTTACCTGCTGTGTGCAGTAGTTTTGTACAGAGCAGCCCGGTTCCTCCTCTTCTTGGGTCCCCCACAGGTTCTCCTGGCTCCTCCTTTCTGTTGGGTGCCCCCATAGCAAGAAGCTTACTATGGGGGCACCTGCTGCCCTTTCACACACGGAGCTGTGGCTTGGCCCCGCCACCTGCCTCTCCTCATTGACTGACTGGCTGTGGCAAGCTGTGGACAGACAAGCAGGGCCCTCCAGACGTGCCTGGGCCCTGCTTGTCTGTTCTTACTACCACTGTAGGTGCTATGCCAAATACAACATCCTTGGCATCCCTCCAGACATGCCCTGGACACATTCATAGCCGTAAGTTTACAATTTTGCGGTGGGCCACATGCATAGCCCTCTTGGGTTCATGTGGCTTGCAGGCTGCGGGTTGGACACCCCTGGTCTAAGGGCTTTAAAAACATCACAGACATGGGAAATATTGATATAGAAAGCTAGACACTGAGAACATTGCAGAGCTTGTGAGAGGCACATTTCTATGTACACCTATCTGGCTTAATTTACCATTTTAATGGGACAGTTTACCCAAAGCGGATATTTTGGTTATGGATAGAAGTTTTTGTGTTCATTTAATCACTGATTATACCAGACCATCATCAATCACAGGCACTACCATTAGCAGGTAGGTAGACCTGGTGAAAAGGCCTTCATAGTAGAGATCCTGAGATATGAGCCATTGGTAGATGGTGGGCAAATAAATGATCACAATCAGTCCATAAAATGTTTTTAAAGATTGTTTCTTGAACATGCAAAAGAAGAAAGCAGGCAGACACTCTGACGTCAACCACGTCAACTGTGTAACATCCTTAATCAGTTGGCCAGTTTCTTCTGCTAACCGTCTACTCTACACCACTTATAAGCTGGCCAGTTCCAATGGCAATCGTCTTACATGTCCTGTTATCTAACCATCCAGCCCAGCCTCATCCCCATTGCTGAGTTTTTCGGGTAGACCAAACATTTAAAATGAACTCCATTGATGAACAGTTTTGCTGGTTCTGTGGTGACACATTGGTGTTCTTTTCCATTTCTGCAGGATCAGTTTGAATTTGCCCTCACAGCGGTGGCGGAGGAAGTAAATGCAATCTTGAAGGCTCTGCCACAGTGAGATTGACCCAGCTGCCCCACTCGGTGTTGTGACATTGCGCCTGCCTTACGAAGATGGCAGCTCCACCTCAAATATCCATTTATGTGCTCTCTACTCTTCATGCCAGAGATTTATGGCTGCCCTTCTACATCCCTAATACCTATTTGCCTTTCCAAGCATCTACCCTTCTACTGCCTGACTTTTCTTATCCCAAAATTTGCTACCTCGTCCCCCATGCTTCACCCCTAAGCTGCTAGTACCTCATTGTCATCCAGTCATGTCTATTCATCGTTCTCCAATAGCAGAGAGGCTCCAAGTCTCCTAAGGTCCCCAGGGTGAAATCCCAGAATAACAGATTCAGCAAATTCCCTGGAACTACTTCCAATATATACAGTAATATGGCACAACAGACTATATTTTTTATAATGTTAATATGTTATTGCTTTCTTAATAGCACTTTAGGTTAAATTAGTCTACTCCGAAAGTAACAATGGTACCAAGATATGGACACCTTTAAGATGTCTACCATTACCCATGTAAGTGTCCAGATTAATCTGTGTCCTTGTGAAGGCCTAGACTGCACACTACTGTCCAATTTGAGATTAAACCCTACCTCCTCCAGGCACCAAGTTCATTTCTGTCATTCAGCTGTCAAATGCTTCTACTGCTTATGGAAGTTCTAGCACTTGACAGTTGAATGGCAGGGGTTTGGGTTTAGCACCGGAAAGAGGAGGGGCTTAATTTTGACTTGGGCAGAAGTCAGTGCCATATGTACAGATTGGGCCTAGGATCCAATGGGGCTTCTCAGGGACACAGGGATCAACTGGAAGACCAAAACCAAGAGTCTGCACATCATCACTGTGTTAGGTCAGGCTTACTTAAATAGTAAATGTATATTTAAAAAATATATATATATATTTAGGAAAATTTCAAAATTCAGTGGGCCTTTGAGTCCATGAAATGTATGCAGTGGACACTGTAAGAGCTGGAGAAAATGGCTGCACTGATGTCTTCCACTGGACTGTATGGTGGATATAGAAGTCTCCCTAACTGCATTTTGGATGAGGCCACTAACTATAATCCCATGTAATAAAGCTGAACACCTCTCAAAAGATTTAAAAAACTGCAAAATGAGAAAATAGATTTATAATTGTTCCAAGGCCCCAGGTATTAGAATCTAAAACTTGCAAACATCCTTCAAAACTGCTGATCCTTTGATTAGTTATGTTGTTGACCCTCGGGCCTACAGATATTCAAATTGTTTCAGATATGCCCACTGTAGACCCTGCTGTGTCCTCTCTACCACTGTGTTTTGATTCAGACAGAATAGAACGGTCAGTCTTTCTATTTGCCTTTGAAAAAAATGATGAATTCAAGGGACTGAGACTAGCTATTGGGATCTGCTTGCTTCATAATGCAGTTATAATAGTGACTGAGAGGACAGGTCCTAAAGACTTCAAATATTTGCTGGAGTTTACAAGTCAACAAAAAATCTGGACTAATAAAGCTTTACATATCAAAGCAAATGTATGAAAATATCAGGTCTATTAGGTGGGCACTTTCACTACACAGAACCCCCTCTGACATGCAGACCAGTTGTAGGATATCTCAGAATTCACAAGCCAAGGGTTGACATAGCAGAACTACCTTGCTTTGCAAGAGGAGAAGTCTTGTAGATTCAAGGGTAATTCCAGAGCCTTTTGTAAGGTAAGGATACCGAGCTGTTATTGGATAAGGGCACTTGGTACGCACTGACGATGCCGAATGCCCAACCTCACCGTTCTCTAAGTCATTCTGTCCTGTCGTATTTTCTCCGTTTCTAAATATGCTGCATTTTCTGCTGGGGACAGATATGGGGGAAGACATATCTGAGGCGAGGTAGCCCATCCATCCCCCCAGCCTACACCTCTTTTCCTTTTCATACCGCATTGTATAGACATTCACCACCACCAAAAACAAAATGAAAATCATTTCTAGAGAAATATAATAGACTTTAATTTTGTATCTTGATGTGAATAAAGTATTTGTGTTGGGTTTGTGTAACTGCAAAGAAAATGTGTGGTGCCATCTTTTTTTGTTGTATTTGGCTGAACGTCTCAACGCAGCAGCCCTGCTCTTCGGCCCCTTTCACATGGGCGATCTGATCAGGTCCACCAAGCAGTTTTTCAGGTCGACCTGATCAGATGGTCCATGTATTCCTATGGACTGGTGGGTGTAAATGGACTTGTGCCTGTTTACACCCACCTACCTCCAACCCGGTCAACTGAAAGAAAAAAAAACAGAAGGGGATCTTTTCCCCTCTGTGTAGGCGGATCGTAAGGCAGTCAGGTGTAAACGGACAGCTGGTGTGGGCCGTGTGCAGAGCGGACAGGGACCTGTCATCCACCCGCTCTGCTCTGCTCAGCGAGGAATCAGCGGACAGATCTCCCGTTGAACAAAGCGGAGTCCACACCGTGTGAAAGAGGCCTCCATCTCACTTATTGAAGGCTGAAACATCTGTTGGCATTAATGTTGCATCCCTATATAGAGTCACTTATCAGGCACACAAGCCCATTTACAGAAATAACCAAGAATGGAAGCATAGATGAGCCACAGCGGAAAAAGACAAATTGGCCCTGCAAGCTTGCCCAGTTTTTTTTTTGGGGGGGGAAGGGGGGTCTATACTGTATATGTGGGTTTTTTGTTTTTTTTTTATTTAGAATGGAGAAGGGGAGTCTCTCTAATGGTGCTCCAGGTACCAGTAAAACCTGGCAGGAGTCCCAGCCTTTCCCCATACTATCCAAACAATAAATACAGTGGGGATCGAAAGTTTGGGCACCCCAGCTAAAAATTTGTATTAATGTGCATAAAGAAGCCAAGGAAAGATGGAAAAAATTTCCAAAAGGCATCAAATTACAGATTAGACATTCTTATAATATGTCAACAAAAGTTAGATTTTATTTCCATCATTTACACTTTCAAAATAACAGAAAACAAAAAAATGGCATCTGCAAAAGTTTGGGCACCCTGCAGAGTTAATATCTTGTACTGCCCCCTTTGGCAAGTATCACAGCTTGTAAACGCTTTTTGTAGCCAGCCAAGAGTCTTTCAATTCTTGTTTGAGGTATCTTTGCCCATTCTTCCTTACAAAAGTCTTCCAGTTCTTTGAGATTTCTGGGCTGTCTGTCATGCACTGCTCTTTTAAGGTCTATTCATAGATTTTCAATTATGTTGAGGTCAGGAGATTGTGAAGGCCATGGCAAAACCTTCAGTTTACGCCTCTTGATGTAATCCCCCGTGGATTTCGAGGTGTGTTTAGGATCATTATCCATTTGTAGAAGCCATCCTCTCTTTAACTTCAGCTTTTTCACAGATGGCATCAAGTTACCATCCAAAATTTGCTGACATTTTATTGAATCCATTTTTCCTTCTACTCATGAGATGTTCCCTGTGCCACATCCTTCAAAACTGCTGATCCTTTGATTAGTTATGTTGTTGACCCTCGGGCCTACAGATATTCAAATTGTTTCAGATATGCCCACTGTAGACCCTGCTGTGTCCTCTCTACCACTGTGTTTTGATTCAGACAGAATAGAACGGTCAGTCTTTCTATTTGCCTTTGAAAAAAATGATGAATTCAAGGGACTGAGACTAGCTATTGGGATCTGCTTGCTTCATAATGCAGTTATAATAGTGACTGAGAGGACAGGTCCTAAAGACTTCAAATATTTGCTGGAGTTTACAAGTCAACAAAAAATCTGGACTAATAAAGCTTTACATATCAAAGCAAATGTATGAAAATATCAGGTCACAACCCCAAAGCATGATTGATCCAACCCCATGCTTAACAGTTGGACAGAGGTTCTTTTCATTAAATTCTGTGCCCCTTCTTCTCCAAACATACCTTTGCTCATTCCGGCCAAAAAGTTCAATTTTAACCTCATTGGTCCACAGAACTTGTTTCCAAAATGCATCAGGCTTGTCTATATGTTCATTTGCAAAGTTCAAACGATGATTTTTGTGAGGACGTAGAAGAGGTTTTCTTCTGATGACTCTTCCATGAAGACCATATTTGTACAAGTATCTCTTTATAGTGGAATAGTGTACCACAACTCCAGTGTCTCCCAGATCTTTCTGGAGGGATCGTGCAGTCAAACGTGGGTTTTGAATTGTTTTTCTCACAATCCTGGGAGCTGTTCTGTCTGATATTTTTCTTGGTCTTCCAGATCTTGCTTTAACTTCCACTGTTCCTGATGACTGACATTTTTTAATTACATTCCAAACAGAGGATATTGACATCTGAAAACGCTTTGCTATCTTCTTATAGCCTTCTCCAGCTTTGTGAGCGTCAACTATTTTCAGTTTCAGTTTTCTAGACAACTGCTTAGAAGAACCCATGGTGCTGATTGTTGGGGCAAGGTCAGATGAGTCTGGGCATTTAAAACCTTTGAGATTGACATCACCTGGTCTTCCCAGACGATGATTGAGAACAATCCATGACACTGGCAGGTCTCAGCTTTGCAAAGGGGGCAGTGCATGCTATAAATTCTGCAGGGTGCCCAAACTTTTGCAGACGCCATTTTTTTGTTTTCTGTTATTTTGACAGTTTAAATGATGGAAATAAAATTAAACTTTTGTTGACATATTATAAGAATGTCTAATCTGTAATTTGATGCCTTTTGGAGATTGTTCCATCTTTCCTTGGCTTCTTTATGCACATTAATACAAATTTTTAGCGGGGTGCCCAAACTTTCGATCCCCACTGTAAATAAAACGTTTTGGGTATAGATACAAATTATGCTTTTTGAGTATTACTAGGTACTTTATTAGGTACACCTGTTAAATTACTTGGTAACACAGACTGCAAATCAGCCAACAATGGGGAGGAAAGGGGATGGTTGTTGGTGCCAGACGGGCTGGTCTGAGTATTTAAAAAACTGCTGATCTACTGGGATTTTCACACACAGCCATCTCTAGGGTTTACAGAGAATGGTCCAAAAAAGAGAAAATATCCAGTGAGTGGCAGTTGTGTGGACGAAAAT